CACATGTGAATTCATGCGAAAAGAGAAAAACCGCGCGCGGAGGGCGAATTCTTTTAAAAGCACGTCTTGTCCTTTCGCCTGCAGATCTGTTCGGGGCGGGGGGGGGGGCACCCAGTCCGTCTCCGCAGCCTTGCCCTTGGGGGTCTCCGGCATAGCGCAGATGCGCAGGTGCGCAGGTCCGTGCACTGGAGGTGGCAACTCGTCGGAGCTTCCGGGGTGACATCTAGGGAGCCCTGAACGTTTCCGCAGGCGAAAGGACAAGACGTGCTTTTAAAAGAATTCGCCCTCCGCGCGCGGTTTTTCTCTTTTCGCATGAATTCACATGTGAAAGTGAAAGGGTGCAATTTCACTCACGAACCCTGTCGGATCGCTTCTCATCGCAAAAACCCCGTCAGCAGTGCTCCTCCGGGAATGTACGTAAGAGCTAGTGATGTTGTGCCCTTGTTTGTTCTCTTGGCACCTTGGAGTGCTGGGGGGGGGGCGACAGGGAGGATGTGGCCTTGAGATATGTGTACGCCAACTCAGGGTGTGTGGCCGCCAGCTGGCTGTGTGTCTTGTGAGCCTGTTTGTGTCTGTGTGTCGCTCGTGCGTGTCGTCATCATCTGTCTAGCGTCCACCCATACCGCGTTGGTGTCCAGCCCGAGCCTGGCTGTTCTTCACCTTTCTACCTAATACCTATACCTACCTAGGACGTGAAGCGCGGGTTGGAGGGCTGCCATCCCACGTCCCGGTGTTACCAAAGGGGAAAAGAAGAATTCGAAAACCTAGAAAAAAAAGATAGAGCAGGGTCCCCACCTGCACTTGGATGCACGACCAACCCATGATGAACGATTTCTCGGGGGCAAGGATTGGAACGTGCCGCCTCCTCGAAAATGCAGGTGGCGCTTCTGACGGCAGCGGAGGCGGACGACGCGCTCCTGCTGCAGCTGCGGGAGGCGGGCAGCCTCAAGAAGGCCTCCCTGCCTCAGCTGCGCGCCGCGCGCGACTTCCTCGCCGACGGAGAGGTGGGCTGGGCTGAGCTCGCGGCTCGCCACGGAATTCTCCAATCCGCAGGGGCATGGGACGCGACCATCAAGCTCGCACGCCGCATCGGCTGGCTGCGGCCGCCCGCCGCAGCCGTCGACGAGGCGGAGCCTGCCACGGCGGCAGTGCTCTCGAACATGCAGCTCCTGCTGCAAGTCGCCACCGCCGGGGGAGGCTCCTCCTCCCGCTCCGAGACGGCGATCGCGACGGTTGCGATCGCCGCCGAGCTGCTTGGCGACCCCGGCCTCAACATTCCCGCCGCGTGCGTGCGGCACGGGGTCACCATCGGCCATCTCGGGTCGGGGCGCAAGTCCGCGCGAGAGCGCGCCGAGCGCACGCGTGCGGCGTTGGTCGAGCTGGGCCTAACAGACTGGGAGGCGCTCAAGAGGCAATGGGCGGTGAAGCTCGACCGGCCGGCCGTCAAGGCGCTGCAGCAGCGCCACCGCGTCTCGGTGGCCGAGGCGGCGCGCGCGCTGCACGCGGCGGCGGGCGACGAGGCGGCGGCGGGGGCGGCGCTGCTCTCGCAAAAGCGCTCGGCGAGTCTGGAGGCGGGCGACGCGCCGCCAGAGGAGGAGTCGGTGCCGTCGTCGGCGTCGGCTGTCTTCGACGACCCCAAGCTGCTCCGCATCCAGGCTGCGCTGCGTGATGAGGCGCTCCGCCGCCGCCCTCACCCCCACCCTCCCCACCGCCGCCCTTGGCAGCCGCCCTCCCCTCCGCCGCCC